AGAAGAAGAAAGAGGAGTACGACGACACCAGACTTCCTGAACGCGACTTGATTAAAGGTATAACGTAAAGTACAGATAATGGAAGACCGGCTCCCGAAATGGCGGTAGTGACCCGACCGGTGTCGCCTGGCCGCCTGCCAGGCTTCGTACGGGGTCATCAAGTCGGCTTGATAGCTGGGGCCCAACGGAAAGAGTACCGCAACTTCCGATATTTTTTGCCCTCAGAAAAATGCCTAAAAAACTCTGAAAATTGGAGGGTCTGGAGGCTTGATTGCGGTCTTTCCAGGAAAAATATTTTTTTTTAAATGAGAAAAATAAATTGGAACGTGCAAAAAATGTCCCACCAATTCATCTCATTTTTCATTTTTGCAACTCTACAACCTCTGGAGCCACGGGAAAAGTACCCCAACTGATACTTCACGCTCAAAAGAATATGTCAAGAAATCTGAAAACTGGAGGGTCCTTAGATTTCGTCGCTATCTTTCCAGGTTAAATATTAAAAAATAATAATAATATTTGCTCCAACCGCGAAATAAATCACAGCAGCAATTCGACGCATTTTTTATTTTTGCCAATCTGCCGGCCAGTTCTCCCCACTGTGCTAGCGGGGGCCCCAAATTTAGAACGGCGGGAGTAGTGGTGGTTTAAACCAGCAGTGTACCTCAGAGCCTCTTTTTGTCTGGCCACGCGCCAATTCCAGTGGTTTCCGGACACTTTTGCGGAACCGGCACAGGTGCGAAATCCCCATTTTTCACCCTGGCGCCACCAGCCTTTTCGAATTTGTGGTTTAAACCACAAGTACTTGGCCCAGCTATCGTCCGCAGGGAAAAATAGAGTCCTCGAAACGTTTCTAGTCCAATGAATTTGGGCGCTCCTGTAGTCGCCCGTACGTTTCCTAAAATTGTGACTTGTTAGCAGGCAAGACTTTAGGAAGTACTGGTAGTTTAAGGTCCTGCGTGCAGACAACAGGTTGAATCGGCTAGGAGGGTCTTGCAGTGCCTGGGCCCAAGCCCCAGGATAACCCGCTTGCACACGTTGTGGGCGAGGGTTACCTGAAGCTCAAGAAATTACAATACAACACATCCCCTCCTGTAATTCAGTGTAAAGATTTAAAACTTAAAAGTTAAAACTGAATTGTCTCACCTTCAAATCCCTATTTCTCTACACAGAAGGAAAAGCTCTCTCCCAAGACCACACCCACGCTTTCTCCAGGTTGAGAGCAGGCACACGCGGCAACATGAAAGACTAATTACCATCCAAAAATTCCCTACATTGCACAAGCTGGGAGAGTACACAACACATTGCAATACCAATCAATTGGGCGCTGCGACAAGCCAACTTATACCAACAATCATTCGGGCCCTGCGACCCTGAATTTCTCTATTCGTATTCGAATAGAGAAATTCAGGAAGTCAACGTATGCCAATCATTTGGGCCCTGCGACGAGTGAACTTTTGAAGAACGAAGCGCAACACAAATTCTTGGTGGCAACATTCTTCCTACATCCACTCCCACCCAAGATACCAAAAATAGAAAGTAACAAGAAAGAAAAAGTGAACATCACTGTCACATGTGCCCAAGAGCGGACGCCGCCTAATCCTGAATCCCACCACCTCCAAACAATAAAAGAATGCAAACCACTTCAATGATATGCCCAGAAGAACATAAGGGTCTCGCTCCCCTACTGTCCACTGTACAAAAACGGACAGTGGTACTTCGCTCCACTTACTGTCCACTGCACATGTGCAAAATGGCTTGGACAGTTTATAGAAACCCCGTCGAAAATCTACTGTCCGTGAATGTACAGCTCCCAGCCTGCAAAATTCGTTACGCGGAAAGTCCTTCAAGCGACTCACCGGGAGGACCCGAATTTGGACAGTGCACCTAGAGTCCGGGCGGACAAAATCCTTTGGACGCCCTGTCTTGTAGTTCTATCACTGTGTCCGTAGTGAATTCACGAATTTGAGAGGTGGACAGCGGACAGTAAGTGGAGCGATGTCGCATTTTCCACTGTCCGCTGTACAATATTTCGCTCTGACAACTGTCCAGCAACTGTCCGAAAAATTGTACAGTGGACAGTAGTGGAGCGAGACCCTAAATGTCATACTCCCCCTGGCCAACTTGGAAGCAGCACAGCTTGTCGAAAACAACACAGCAGTCCGTCGGGACAAACACAGCTGTCCTTCGAACGCTCCAGAGAAGATTAGCATGCCCCCTGCGTAAGGAATAAGGAAAAAGAAAACCGGGGGGGGAGGGTGCAGGCAATTCCTAAATATTTCCCTATTACCACCCTTTCTTAACGTATTTTTCCTTTTGTGATCTCAAAATACGTATTGAATTTATGGCGGTTCTGTATCCTTTTTGCTAATTTTTCTTCATGAACAGGAATCATCTCTGATTCAATCATTGTAAACAGCGTGAAAAATTAGCAAAGAGGATACAATGATTGCGGAGCGTTTGGCGATGGCGTTTGGCGGTTCTGTATCCTTTGGAGTGACGACTGCGGAGATGATTCCTTTGGAGTGACGACTGCGGAGATGTATCCTTTGGAGTGACGACTGCGGAGATGATTCCTGTTTACAACGACTGCCAAAAAGAATCGCCAAAAGGATACAGAACCGCCATAAATTTTTTTCACGCCATAAATTTTTTTCACGCTGTTTACAATGATTGAATCAGAGATACAGTAGGACCATTGTAAAAGGCGTGATCTTTTCTTCTTTTTTTTTTTTCCTTTTTTTTTTGGGGGGGGGGGGGGGGGGGGGGGAAGCCTATGCCAAGGGGGGGTGATATGACCATCCTCCCCTAGTAGGTGTTCTGGCAGCTCCATTCCTATTGGTGCGGAGGTGCAAGTGCTGGAAACCAGGTCCAGTCCCCCAGCAAAACAGCTGGGAAATGACAATGCACGCAGCATGACATGGTGGTCACAAAGTACTATTGTTTGCCATTGATCTTCAGGGTCAGTAGCGGAACGTTCTGTAAGTTGAAGAAGGCTGTTTGTGAAAACAACTGGAGATATCAGAAGTGAGAATGCTGACATGAGTGAAAAAAATCAGGTGAAAAACATGAACGGTCCCTAAGGAAACCCCGAAAGGCGGCGCCAATGGGTACTAGAAAGTGACAAAATTTGAATTAAGCAAGCGCTACTGAACAAAACAAGATTGGATGATTGGACAGGGCCTCAATTATCGGGAAAAAACTTCTAGAATCAATTGTAGGTTGAACCGTACCCCAAACCGGGGAAGTTAGTTCCACATTGCGTAATAAGGAAGAATGCAGCAATGCGACAAACCATCAATAGCGCAATTGAGAATGTGCACACTGGACCCGTTTTCCAGCAGGAGTAGCTCCCCACCAATAGAATGGAGGAACCGGATCACACAGTAGGGGAGGATGCGCTATCACCCCGTTTAGTGACGCTGCCCCGGTAATACAAAAAAGAAAAGAAAAAGAAAAAAGAAAAAGAACGTGCAACACCCACCGCCAGCACACACTCACACATCTATGCCAGACATGCCCCACGTGCATACGACCATTGTGGGGCCCCCTCGCTGACCAGGTATGGCAGCAGCCATAGCCTCGAGCTAAGAACATAAGCCCTTGAATGGCGCATTAGGCGGCATGCCTTGCTCCAAAAAGAAAATACCAGGGCAAACAACTTTTTCCTTTTTTTCCCCCCCCAAAAGGGCAACAATGGGCTTAGGACATTATCATCGGACTAACCAGCCCACGTAAATTCAAGGTAAATCCTCAATCTCTGTCTAATCTGGCAGGGTGGCCTTCTTGCTATCCGGGGAACCCCAACTCTGTCTAATCTGAAAGGGTGGCTTTGCTGCCATCAGGGGAACCCCCAGCAGCCATAAGGGACTGCGTGGGTGACATCGGCCAGGGGTCAGCCGGTAGCACTAGGAGCCAAGCATATATTGCCAGTTGCTGTGCCTCCCCAATCACCCCTCCCCTAAAGTCAGCGGTCTCTGGTTAATGCCGATTGGGGGGAGCAACAGACTAATCTCTAGATGGCGGGCGCCAAGTATGTCCAGGTAGGTACATGAGGCCAGTGGGAACTGAACCCAAGACCTCCTGACTGCCACTTGTGTGCCCTTACCAACTGAACTAGGCCGAATGTTTGGACAGGGTTCCATGTCTGAAGTAGCTGTTGGTAGGATTTTGTTGCTTTGCAAGGTTTGGACTGGGTTCCCATGTCGGAATGTAGCT